AAAGTAACGCCATCCCAGCCTGGAGGAAAAGAATCGAGGACCGTATCGCAAAGGCAAGGGCCCTTATCGGCAGACTGACAAGCTTCAGGTCGGGTAATAATAGACCGATGATTATGCGCACCGTTAGGATGGCGTTTGCTGGGACAAATATCAGTTTGTCCCAGCCGGATATCACGCAGAAACTAACGGAGCGCATAGACGACCTGAAGCAAAAGATCGCTGCTTGGGGGAAGCGGATTCGACGATTTTCCGAGGGGTCAAGGCGGTTCAACCAGAATCGTCTCTTCCAGAGTGATCAGAAGAGGCTCTATAAATTATTGGAGCGACCAAAGGTATGTGGAGCGGGCCAAGGACCGGATCAGGCTGACATTATCGCATTCTGGCGGGGCCTGTGGTCAGCGCCCGTAAACCAGAGTGAGGGCCCTTGGATGGAAGTTGTGGCGAGCCAGGGTGCGAGTGTTACGCCTATGGACCCCATCACCATAACGCCAGAAGACGTGGCTGAGGCGGTCCGTAGGGCCCCGAACTGGAAAAGTCCGGGGCTCGACGGGCTGCATCATTACTGGCTGAAGGGGTTCGTAGTGTGTCACGCTGTGCTCGCCCGACAGTTTCAAGAGGCTCTCGACCAGAAGTCACTCCCGAGCCTCTTCACTACTGGGATCACTCACTTGGTTCCTAAAGATCAGGATACCACAGACCCGAGCAAATACCGCCCCATCACGTGTCTACCCACCATATATAAGACACTGACATCCATTTTGAGCGCGAGAATCACTCGTCACCTGGAGCTAAACCAGGTGATGTCACGCGCTCAAAATGGATGTCGGGGCGGTGGTCGTGGAACTAAGGAACCACTCCTCATTGACGCGGTCATAGGCAAAGTGGTGAAAAGCAACCGTCGGAACTTCTCTGCCGCCTGGATAGACTACAGAAAGGCGTTCGATTCGGTGCCCCATACATGGCTAAAGAGGGTCCTCGAGCTGTACAAGATTGACTGTACAGTTAGAGACTTCCTCGAGCAGTGTATGGGGCAGTGGAGTACGATCCTTTGTCATCTGGGCGAGCGGATGACGGCTGCGGAGAACCACATAAGGATAAGAAGGGGTATCTTCCAGGGCGATTGTCTGAGTCCAATCTGGTTCTGCCTCTCTCTTAACCCTCTCAGTACCTTACTGGACGGCTCCGGGAGGGGATTTCAGCTACGGAAAGGAGGGACAAAAGTGACCCACCTTTTCTATATGGATGACCTCAAGTTATTCGCCTCCAGTCGCTCCCATCTTAAGGAACTGCTAAACATCACTTGTGAATTTAGCAGTTCCATTGGAATGGAGCTGGGGACGGATAAGTGTGCGGTCCTCCATGTTGAAAGGGGAAGGGTTGCTAACTCTGAGGGCATAGACTTGTCTATGCCCGTCAACTTAAGGACCTTTTCCGAGGCTGAAACATACCGATACCTGGGTATGTCACAGAACATTGGTATCGATGAGGCTGGTATGAAACAGTCAGTTTGCGACGTGTTTTATGCACGCTTGACCAAAGTGCTTAACAGCCTTTTGTCCGGTGTGAATAAGACACACGCATATAACGGCTGGGTCATGCCTGTCCTCATGTATACCTTTGGCATACTCAGGTGGACTCAGACTGAGCTTAACGCCCTGGATAGAAAAGTCCGCACTACCATGACGTCCCATAGGATGCATCATCCGAGATCGTCGGTAATGAGGCTGTACTTGCCGCGGAAGTATGGTGGGCGTGGCTTTCTGAGCGCGCTCACCATGCATAATCGCGAAGTGTGCAGTCTCCGTCAGTACTTCTTGGCGAGATCGGATGATCCATTCTATAATGACGTCATTTCTAGTGATAAAGGGCTTACCCCTCTATCCTTAGCCAACGAGCAATGCCAAGACCCAGCAGTGCTTAGCAATTCCGGCCGGGAGACCGTATGGAAGGAGAAGGAGCTCCACGGAAGGTACTACAAGGCTCTACATGAGCCCTTCGTAGATACAGTCGCCTCCCTCAACTGGCTACGTTTCGGTGACCTCTTCGGGGAAACCGAGGGTTTTGTCTGTGCAATACAGGATCAGGTTATTAAGACCAACAACTATCGGAGATAAATCCTAAAGGATGGCACCGTCGACGTCTGTCGAGCTTGTCGCCATCCCGGGGAGTCACTTAGGCATGTCATCTTCGGTTGTTCAGCGCTTTCTAACTCTGAGTACTTGCACAGGCACAACCTGGTAGCCAGAATTCTACACCAGGAGCTCGCTCTGAAATACGGTCTCGTGGACCGGAAATTGCCGTATTACAAGTACTTGCCGGAAGCCGTGCTCGAAAATGACCGCGCCAGACTCTACTGGGACCGGGCCATCATCACAGACAGGACTATTCTTGCGAATAAGCCTGATATTGTGCTGATGGACCGGGCACAGTCAAGGATATTTTTGGTCGATATTACCATCCCGTATGACGAGAACCTCGTGAGAGCCGAAACAGATAAGCAATCAAAATATCTGGACCTGGCTCACGAGGTGACGGACATGTGGGGTGGTCTGCCGGCCGAAATTATTCCTGTAGTCGTCTCTGTGAATGGGCTAATCCCAGTTAGCCTCTCTGGTCATCTGAGGCGACTGGGACTCCGTGACGGACCGCTCCGGGCTCAAATGCAGAAGGCGGTGCTCCTTGATACTGCCCGCATCGTCCGCCGGTTTCTTTCCCTTTCTTCCTAACCCTTGGCCGTTTGGTCTCCCCTGCCGAGGGCTTCCATCTGGTTGGGCTTTTATTTATTTATGTATTTTTGTATTTATTTTATTTTATTGATATTTATGTATATTTATCCTTTCATTTTCGTTTATAATTATATATTTATACATCCCAACCAGATGAGAAAACTATATAGATACCCCATTATAATAAGAATAATAATAATTTATTTTCAGACTTTGTCCATAAAGATGTTAGTAGAACAATAACTACTTAGAACTAATGTTAGTATTTAACTTTTTTTTTAAACTTAACAAATTAAATATCGCTCCTACTTTACAAATATCTTATTTATTCAATTTTATATGTAGGCTAAACCAGTGCTTCATCATGGCAGAATCCCACCTATCAGCAAGTGTATTCAGGATGCTGTTAGTAGAGGTACGTAGTCGATTCATTAATGAAGCGGACCTTTTTACGTATTATGGCATGAAAGCCATCCGTGTGTGCCTCGACGAACATGGCAGAGGCACTACAATAACGCGGCAATCCTAACAGCACCCTGAACGCATTATTGTATTGTACACGCAGGACATTGTATGTCCGCTGCGTGTATCTGACCCACAAGTTGCATGTGTAAAAGCACTGACAATAAGCTTTAAAAAGCGTAACTTTAACTTCTTTAGCACATCGTGCAAACCTGCGGGCCAGCATATTACAGCGAACAGCCAACGCCCTACGTTCCCTTTCTATATCCAAGTCATCCTCTAAGTCCTCCGTTACCCAGTGGCCTAAGTACTTAAATTTGACGACTCTGTTCAAAGGACTATCACAGAGCTTAACATATATACATACAACATATATAACATATAGCTATAGTGATTATATATTTTGATAAATTTTAAACTTAAATTTTAAACATGATCTTATCAAACAATTGAATTAATCCTTTACTCGCGATGCTATGTATAATTAAATGTATAAAATCTGGATTTTATAATATCATACCTTAAAAGAGTATTGCACTGACTCCCTCTCCCTATTTTCTTTATTAAAGCCACTCACCCCTTCTTACAGGGTAAATGGTCACCCTTATAAATATTTTTTAGATTCTTGATCCGCCCCTTCCAACCAATACTCTAAAACTGTGCTCAAAATGTATTCGTTACGATATAAAGAAATAACGCGAGAACCGTACCAGTTTTTAGGGTGCGATATTCCCCAATATGTATGTTTTTACAGCAGAACATAAACACAAGAATTTATTCATTATAAATATCAATTTTATATCAATTTTTTTAATATTTTTAAGAAACATCACTTAAGTGTTTCAATCATAGTACTCATATGTGTGCCTTACAATTGAACAATCAAACGAGCTTACCTGTAAGCGAAGTTCGATTGAGATTATACCTTGTTGTCTCTCCGAAGACCATGGAATGTATATGTTAGTATCGCTTCTTATCTCGGTGGCGTTACATAAGTTAAAAGTAATTTTAAAATTTCTGAACGCATCCTCTAGTTGCACCTCATTGGCGCCTCAATCTGTCAACTCATTTTAGTTTAAAGCATAAGTCTGATTCTATTCGGGACTGAGCCTGGACTCATAGGGGATGGGTGGGTTCCATGGTTCGGAGAGACAACAAGGTATAATCTCAATAGAACTTCGCTTACAGGTAAGCACGTTTGATTGTTCAATTATAGCCTTGTTGTCTCTCCTCGACGATGGAAATAATACTATATGTTAGATATTCAAAGTCTCAGAACAGAATCAGACTTTAATTATAATAAAATTGTAACAATAAAGGTTAAGAAGTTTTCTTATTAATAATTATTATAATTACAATTAGTCATCAATATTAATATTTCTAAAAACAGCATTAGCATAAATTGTGTCCTTATTGTTCAAAATAGGACGATTATAGAATCTAGCAAAATAAATTGAATTTTCAGTCCAACAGCTGATTTTCTTATAATATCTATTGATACACCCTTATGGAATGCTGCTGAAGTAGAAGCATGCCTTGTGCTATGAACAGAAAAAATGTTCACATCTATACCACATTCTTTTAAAATGTCTTTTATCCATCTGCTGATTGTACGTACTGATACCCCTCTATAGGGTTTCTTAAATGAAATAAATAATTTTTTTGTGTTTCCTCTTATTGGTTCAGTTAACTTCAAATAATTAATCACTGCTCTAGCGGGATATACATTAGGTTTTAAATCAAAAAAAGGTAATACAAGCAATGGCTGCTGTCTGTGGGGGCCTGATGTCTTTAGCAATTTGAAGATTGTAATTAGTAACAAATTTTGTCATCCTCTATTTTTATTTTATCAATTTCCACTGATGCTAAGGTTTGTGCTCTTTGTCCTGTTGCTAGAGCAAATAGCATTGCTGTTTTCTTTGCTTGGAATTTTACATCCTTTGTATCCATCTGATGAAGCTCAAGGTGATTGAACACTTCTGATACATTACAAGTGAATTGATATTTGGGATTATTTGGTCTCAACCTATAGAACCCTTTAAATAATCTTTATATTTGATCATTTATTCCAATATGAGAACCTATCAATAACGACAAGGCTGATCTTATGGAGTTAAGGCTTCCATAAGACATACCTTCATCAAACTTTACTGTGAGATAAGTTATAATTTGTGAAATATTAGCAGTATTTGTACTAATATTGTTAGATGAACAGTATATAGGCCAGTTCCTGAGGTAAGGTAAGTACTGCCTAAGTGTATTTACTGATACCGAATTCATCATAATGTTGGTGGCTTCCTCACCAATGCCTGTGCTTAAAAATTTCTGGCGGAGAGCAGACCTGCCATCAAAGGTAGATTCTTGTGAAGAGAGTGCGGTGATCTGTAATTACACAGGGTAAGTAATTTTTATTGTACCAACAATTTTTTAAACAGTGGGAACCAGGGCTGCGTTGACCAGTAAGGTACAACAACTATGGCTTCCACCTTATCTAAAATTATTTTTTCTAAAGTTTTTAATACTAGTGAAAATGGTGGAAAATCGTAGAAGAAAAATTGGGACCAATATAATGTAAAATCATCTACATTGATTGCATTAAGGTCTAGGTGCAACGACACATACTTTTTGCACTTAGCATTTGTTCGAGAGGCAAACAAATCTATTTCAGGTGTACCAAAGGTCTGCACTATTTTCCTATAATACATACTAGCTCCCACTCAGTGTGTCCAATATTCTTCCTTGATTGAAAATCAGCAGTGACATTATCTTTAGTGTTAATATATGATGCAAAAATCCAGAGGTTACTATCTTAACACCATTGCGAAATTTGCCTAGGAATATCATACAAGTGGGGGTATTGTATACCACCTAGCCTGTTTATATAAGCTATTGCAGTAGTATTATCTATTCGTAACAATATTTCAATATTTTTTAGATTCTTTGTGAAACTCTTTAGCCCGAAGAAAACAGCTTTTAATACTAAAGTATTGATATATAATTTTGATTCTTGTTCTGTCCAGGGTCCACTAGCTGTCTGTCCAGCACATGAAGCACCCCAACCAGCGTTGGAAGCATCAATGTGTATTTCTAAAACAAAATCACTCTGCCTTGTTGGGCTTGTAGAATATTTAACTTTTTCAGCCCATCATTTCAAATCCTGTTTGCAATGGTTAGGTAGTGAAATTTGTGCCTCATAGTTATTATTATAGTGATAAGTATTTATGTCGCTCAAGCAGTTTTGTATATAATATACCATATTTAATTGCTGGACAAACAGATACTAGTGTTCCTAACACCTGAACTAAAAATTTTATAGAAAATAATGGTTTCCTATTTAATTTTTTGATCAAGCGAAGGCAATTTTCTCTTTTTTCTCTTGTTATAGAAATAGACATGTTTTCTGTATTGAAAACTAGTTTTATATATAATATGTTTAATTATAATCTATAAATATAATAAGTTTTATAATATAGTTATTTGCACTGGTGTGAGGGGGTGAGACTACACTTACTAATATTGACTATAAATCCTAAATTAGTAAATAATTTTAGAGTTAACTGTATCTTTTCAACACATTCATTGTAATTATTACAAATAAGAATATAGTCATCTAAATAATGAACCAGGCGTAACCCATCTTCTCTTAACCTGGAATTGATTGGTTTTAAAATCTTTGTAAAAACATAAAGTGCTGTACAAAGCCTGAAAGGGAGTAAATTAAACTGATAAAGTTTATTGTCAAAATAAAAACGTAGATATTTCCTATGATCTAACTTAATACTTATCATCTAATATGCATCCTTAATATCAATTGTTGCTAAATATAATCATATTTGTTAATTAATTTTAATACTGTACAATAATCCTCTAATTTGAAATGATCCATTTTAACAAATTTATTGGGTTCCTTTAGATTTTAAATAAATCTAAAATCCCCATTTGATTTTTTAACTAAAAATATTGGAGAACAAAATTGGTCAGGCACTGGTTCACAAGTCTCTATAGCCTGTATAGACAACAACTTATTAATTTCTATTTTTATTTTACTTAACTCAGTTAATGAAAAATTATTATTTAAGGAAAAATTATTTTGTATAGGTATGTGTTCAAATGGAATTGAATATCCCCTAACCCAATTGAGTATGATAGGTTCATTAGTAAATCTTTGCCAATTATTTATATAATATTGCAGTCTTCCTACCTGTGGTGTAGGAACCTCTAATATCATCGAGGAGGCAGTGGTTTCTGTTGTTGTTGCTGCTTGTTTTTGGCTTGGTTACTCCCCCCCCCCCCCCCTCCTTGGTGCTATTAATCTTAGCACATTTTCAAATGGCATATATTTTTGCATAAACTCTCTCTTATCTTACTTTTTTAGGCCTTTGCTCAGTATGGGTGTCCATCTGTTTGCAATTTCAGGGTGAAGAGGTGGACCTTTTTCCTGTTCTATGTTTATTTCACCCAGAACTGCTAATGCCTCAGCATCCATATCCTGTACCTCTGGAATTTTGTCAGGCTGATTTCCTGATTCGCCAGTAGAGGCCTGGCTATTTAGATTTCCCAGAATCTGCAATTATGATTGAGATGATTCAGATTCCTCAGGTTTTTCTTTTTCTATTAAGATATCATTTTCCATCTCTTCTGGCCAAGATACCTTTGAATCGGATTCAGATGTCACTGTTAAGAAACAGAACACAAATTACCTTAATGTTTATACATTCTTTATGAAAATTTAGGGACCATGTCTAATATTAGACTTTATGTATGTTTTATGGTTCTAGGCTCTGCAACCGTAGCAACAAATGGCATAATGTAAAATCTTTTTGTTTTTGTGGATCTAGGCTCTACAGTCGTAGTAACTACAATAGCTTGGACCAATAAGTTTATATATGGTCCTATGCTCTACAGCAATAGCTACCAATGAATTACACACTTAAAAAATAATTTGGTTACTTCTTATAAAGCAACCTGTTTAATAGACCAACTCAAAAGATATAATATTCTATAGATAGGTTTCTGGAGATGAGGTATAATATTTTTCAATGTATTAAACGGACTTCCTTTGTGGAGAGGTAAAAACACAATAAAACAAAACATCTTAACAGATAATTATTTGAATTGCATTGTAATGCGTTATGCGTCATAACGGAGAACAGGTAGTGACAAGTTAGTATATCATCTCGGCTGATTTTGGGTAGGAAACCGCGTTAATAATAATGATTAAATATCTAGGTATTATTAGATAATGGTAGTTAATACAGTTTTATATATGCAATAATAAGCTATAGGCCCTGCTGTTTCAAAAAATTTTTAACTTTTCTTTTCATTTTAATAAGGAATTGAAGGAAAATACCCCAACTAAAAAACTTAATTCGCTGCTGAATGTATTAATACGTACTCGTAGTAACGCCGTCCGACATAAAAATCGAATGAGTTGACAGATTGATACGCAAATGAGGTGCAACTAGAGGATGCGTTCAGAAATTTTAAAGTTACTCTTAACTTATGTAACGCCACCGAGATAAGAAGCTATACTAACATATAGTATTATTTCCATGGTCTTCGGAGAGACAACAAGGCTATAATTATTATGTACTTACACAAATTGCACATGGACCAACATCCAAACTTGGGACAATTTACGAGTGTTAGTATGCCATACAAGTTCGGGATTAAAACCAGCAGCTCTGCAGTGCCGCAGCCAATCGCTTTCGCAATCGCCACTGAGCTTTGCAGCTAACTTAGGAATCAAGTATTGCATTTTTAAACTGCTCAAATTAATTTAAGTGACAGTATGAAAGTGGCACTAATTTATCAATATTTTTTTAAACATCAACTATAGCAAAAGTTTTTTGATACTCATTATTTGCTAATTCCTAAAAGATAAGCTGTTTTTATTTATATTTTTATAAAATGCATGCTTAAACACTCCCAACTGTCACACGGGAGATTAAACAGATCTTGATACCTCTCCCGATTCTTTCTTATCAATCAATAAGTGGTTAAGGGTACTCTTAACCCTCCGTGCACCAGGTGACTAAAAGTCTCGTCCCATACTAGGTGGGGTGTGACAAACCCTAAAATATAAAAGTGATAAAATTTATATATTTTTTGTTATTTTACGGATTGAAATATAAGGTATTTATAAATACACAATAATAATCAGGTTTAAGTAAAACTAAGAGCGGAGAGTATTTGTTAAAATAATAATTATTATAAATGAACAAAAAAAAAACAACTTCTGTAATTTATGTAACTCAACAGTCATTTTCTTATATACTAATTCCAAATGACGCTTTTAATTATTACAATCGTTTTAAATTCACAAACTACAATATATTTTCTAATAATCAAACATATATTGAACACTGGATAGATAAATTTTATTTGAGATCATCGATGTTCAACTGACCACAGACTTGATGAAAAAAATCTGTGTGCTCCATATTGCATTGCATTACATTTGGCACATAACATTTTTTTACGTGAGTATTTTGTTTTACGATCATTGTTTATAGGGCAAATTAAGCATTTTTGGAGCATTAGACTTTTTTGCTGTACGATCTGTTTAATTTTTGGGCGTATCATCAAAATATTTAGCAATTCTATTGCATAGGTCCCTTCGAAGTTTTTGGTTCTGCCTTCTGGAGTTTAAGTGGCCTTTTATCAAAGAAATACCAAATTCTGGAATAAATTTACTTCTCGAAAACTGTGAGCTTATGGTTATAAAGTAAATTTTCTGTACCTTCGTAGCTAGTAAAAAAATTATCCATAGTGATATTCCAAGAAGACTGTATAATACCTTTGTCTAGTCGGGCGAAGCTCTAAAAATGGTACATCGTCGTCACTGTCAAAATCGGAAAAAAAAATTACACTCTGAATACTCAAATGTTCAGATTCACCTTCAGATCCCGGTCCTGAACCTCCAGATTCTAACTCAAAGTCGTCTCCTTCATCTTAAAGAGCTTGTAATATATCAGCTTCCTTGATATAGGACATTTTTCATGTAAACTATTATCTGTAACTAGTTCAAATTCATTTAAAATGCTAAACATACATAATATAATACAAATAAATAAAAAATACATAAATTACATGGAATAAAAATCTTACCTTTTAATTAACGCGCCGTACGAGGTGGGGTGTGTGACGCCCACACGCACTTTAAGGATGTGTAGCTAACTTGGCGATTGTCATCGGAACGACTTAGCGGCACTGGTCGGAGTGGCAACGTTATAATTCCAGCTACTGAAAATTCGAACTTCGGCGCGTTCACAGTTTTAAAATTATCGCAAAATTTGTAGGACTGGGGTTTGTCAAACCCCACCTGATACACGGAGGGTTAATTAGGCCCATGTTCAATATATCGCCAACTTGGGCACAAAACTGTCTATCTAGAACATCGCTGAAGACACTGAGTACTTAAATCTCCAGCATCTTCATCATCAAATGAACGAATAACGATTTCTTCTTCCAATATTCGTGTATATAAGCCCGTACAATGCACATTTCAGATAACCATATACTCTCGACGTGCTTTCAGGGTACTTGAAGTGTACAGAATTAATAAAGCTGCTTTATTAATTGATAAACTATTATGATATATTAAAAGCATCATACTGCATTACTACAAAAAATAATGAAGAACTGACTGAAAAATTAATTTACATGAAATTTTATATTTTCTTGATAACCGTGATAGCTCAGGAGCTATGCTTTCGCTCTGAATTTCATGAAATTGTTAACTGTAATTTTAGGTGCTGATTTACCATGTGCTTGGCGGTTAAAGAAGACGTCGCGATACAAACTGTATGACTGAGAAGTTAAAATAAATATTTGAAAGACATGGGAAATCCACCAGCACGAAATGGAGCAGCGCGGTGGACATTTCCTTCCCTAAAAACCTTTCTGCAATGAGAGGTCTGTACAGTCTATCACTGGAATTTCTATTGGTTAAAACTTTAGCGTACTTTTTACTTATATTACCTTAGACATATTATCCATGATAAGTTTTTTATATAACTACGGTTGAACACGGTGGTTTTATTACGTATCCTAAGCTTTTATAAAGTCACCTTGAAGCATGTCCAGAGGATATAGCTAACCACAATGTGCATTGCTCGTGCTTAAATAAAGAGAATAACTGAAAAATAAGTCGTAATTCGTACGATTCATCTAATAACATACTTTAGAATAAGGTTTTTTTTTTTAAATAATCTCAATAAGGAATTTATGCAGAGGGTTGTCAACACTGAGGATTAAGATGGAATGCCTCGTTGCCATGAAAAGGGTTTGGGAATAAAAATTATTTAAATTTATCTTTTCTGCTTTTAATTGTCTTTGTTTATCTTTATTCATTACATGGTTAAGACTAAATTTTAAACATCATTTTTGATAGTTCATCGGCTGTAGATGATATCTCAGATCTATAAGAGATGGATTTGTTTCTGAGTATGTCGTGAGTTTAAGTTCCGAAGCTAAGTATCTATTTCATAAAAATATTTTTATTAAACATAGTTTACTTGTCTGTTCATGACGCGATTAACCTACCGTTTATAACTTTCCTAAAACTTAAATATGATCAATGTGGGTTGTAAATTTTCCTTTCCTCCAAATGAAATGGATGAAAGAAATCTTTATTTACTGTCGTATATCATTATTATTATCGTCGTTAGCCTATAACAGTGTACTGTCTCGCAAATAACAAAGAGCTCGCGCATTATTGGAGATTTTTACCATAATCCAACAATAGTTGAGAGGAAGATTATCAATTGCAGCATAAGATGTCTCACAACTTTGAAACAGTCTAAGTATATATCCGCAATATCTATTGGAGGCTACGTGTTATCTATATGTTATTGTATGTGTGTTCGTCCGGCATTTCCCATTGACACCCTCGAGATGAGGTAGTAGATTCTCTTACGTCGCCATACCAACCCTTTTCCACGAGAACTTAAATGAGTAAAGCTCTAAAAATGAAATAGAACAATGCAAACATTCATTTTTATAGCTTCACGAACACAACACAAAACAATCGTATCCTCATACATCTCAGCTATAAAGACAGCTAAAACGTAAAGTAACGTTAGTTAAGGCCTATGTTCTTACCACTGCTGGGCACAGACCTCCACTCATACCTAAATTATGTTTATGATACTAATGAAATATCCGCAGCGCTGACCAATACTTGTTGGTGGACTTCATATGTCTTCGAATTATATCTTTTTTTATTCCATTGACATGCATTGTGCTTTCTGGCGATTTTAATACTGTTACCTTTCTGGCTTTTACAGCTTCATCGAATTCAGGGCCCGCAGGCTCTAAAAGGGTGAACTTAAATCATTCTGCGTCGTTACTAGCATAACGATGACTTCTACGACAGTATACAGTGCACGTGGGTGAGCTGTCTATCGACAGTCCGAGCAGGGTGTGGCGGTTCCCGGCTCTGATGGCTAATTCATATCGTTAGATGTTCTGGGTGGTGAGAATCGCCCAGGTACGCGGGTGAATAGCGTATACGCGGTGTGGAGAGGTGTACGGCGCGCCCGTGTGCGGACTCGCTGCGTCGTATCCGTTGTCATAACAATGTTTGTGGCGCTAAGTGAATGTGTAGTGTCCGTGTATGATGAGCCGGTGGCATTTGGTTCGTCGGAATCTGGCGGAACTTCACAGTCATGCAGGTTACCTCACGATATTATCCTTCACCGCCGAGCACGTGATAAATTTGAAATAAAAATTGCAATTTGAAATTTATAATTTCATTAGTGCCGGCGGAGATCGGACCCAGGTTGCTTGTGAACTGTGATATTTACAGCGAGAGCTGAGCCCTTAAGTTACCAGGGCAAAACGTCTGTAATTATTTCAAAATTAGGTATTAATTATGTATTTATGCAAACAGTGACGATTGTGACGGGTGAACACACACATACGCGCACACTCTCTCTCTCTCTCTCTCTCTCACACACACACACACACACACACATACATACACACACACACACACACACACACACACACACACACACACACACACACACACACACACACACACACACACACACACACACCACTGCGTGCGCGCGCGCGCATACCCACTTGCATTCACGTAGTCACTCACGTCTATGATTTCACAGTTAATTTCGGTTATCTACAGTTCTTAATTTTGGTCCGATCCAAATAGAATAATAAGCTTACAGTATCTTGAAATATTGTAGTAAGAATTAACAGGATCTTAAGCCGATGGTAGCACGCAGAATGTTTTTCAATTTCAATAGTCTTACAAATTTATCCTTCGTAGTATTAATCTACAAAGAATGATACCTTTACCTTTACAAGCATTTGTTGTATTGCAAATCTTATATAAAAGCGAATGTGATCTTGAACATATACAGTCCGCAGATTTCTCCTATTGTCGCTATTCTACGTCCGCTGTATATTCTTTTACGCGAGTTTATATTGGGCTTCTAGTTTGCCCTTTGTAAGAGACCACATTCATAATAAACCTCGGGAACTTCTGCACGGAACGATTTACTTAAAAGTAAGTTAAGACCTACTCAACATCTAGTATTCGCCCAATTAGAAGTGAATAAAATTTTGTTTTAAGAGATTTTCTTACAGATATACCAGTGTAATTAGTAAAGTTTTATAAACCGTGATGTACTAGTAATAAAAAAAATATTATAAGCTTAAAAAATTTTAAACAAGAATGATATATAAAATTGCGAGAAGATATCATAATATTATTTATTTAAAAAATAAACATATTTAAAACATCCTATTGTATTTATAAAAATAAAAAGTGTAACCCTTTACATTCCTCTGTTCGAAATATGGTTCACAATAGTTAAAATAAATGAAGAAAGAGCCCAACGGACTGCTCAAGTGCAGTTAGGATGAAATTCGTACGACCTACAAGTGTATTTTGTTTTTAGTAGTAGTAGTAGTCTTCTTCGCCAGTTAGTTTAATGTAATTTACAATTTCGGTGACGCCGTTTTCCGCTAAAACATTATTCAAGGTACGGGATCTACAGAGTGTGTCTCTAATAAGTCCGGCACTAAATGATGGGTGTTAAAAGTTATCACAGTGATCGAAATTATAGCAATACTAACAAATTTTTTAAGACATCAGCATTATACTCGTATTTTTAAAGATAATTGAGACATCTTCCGCTCTAGACACTGCGTCCATTACTGGCCTTTATACTAGTTTAGCAGTTCTAGGGCTTTTTGTTTGCTCATTTATTCGTTTCTACGAGATTTTACGACATACGAATATACCTACATTATTTTTATTACTCTTTGCCTGAAATCGCGCAGTGGAAAATACAACAGAAAAAAAGAATGTCGTCCTCATTCTTATCAAAACTTAAGTAATATTTATATGGGGTTTCTATCTTTACTTTAGGAAAGACGTTTAAAACCTAGTTTTTTTTTAGTTTTTTCAAAAGTAATTAGTTAAAAATGTACAAATAATTTAAAAGATGCATAGTATAGCCATAAACATAACGTGTAAGAACTGACTCACATAATTAATAGCGTTAATCTAATTTGGCCTGTTAATTTACCCAGTTTTGTAAAACTATTGTTTGGCATGCTTCTTTATAGGCGATAACATGCGCTTGGTAATGACATTATATGGCTCGCATTGAAAGAGGTCTATGCCCATTTGTGGACCCTCAAATGGATTGAGATGAATAAATTTAACGAAACTTTTAAAAAAATATGGCATAAGAAACGGTACAAAAATATTTACCCCATAAAACACAGATTTCCTTTTTTTCGTTCAAAATGTTTATAATTTAGATAGAAAAAATTGTTAATCGCCTTCGCATACAAAAAAGTCTATTGGGGCTATGTACATAATCTTTAAAAGAGGCTATTTTAATTTATATAATAACACCATGACGGTTCCGTTTAAATTTAATGATCAATGTAGATCGTTTTGATTTGGATTATACCCATACTGGCAAATATCGATCCCGGGAATTCCAATTGACTCAAGTGTAAAATTAAGTTTAAATTTTTTGTATTATTGCATTCGCTATTATAATTTTCCTTTTATTCTTACCAAATATATGAATCTAGGTCAACAGGACGGCTTTATACATACAAATAAGAAGAATTTATTAACAGGATTATTGATAGTTGAAGTGCGAGGTTATCAATAAACCACGTTATTAAAAAATGAGACCGCATAAGTTTGGATTTTGGAGTTTGGGAGTATAGAATGATTTGACGTATATTTTAATTGCATGATAATTGCTAGGAATATCAGTAAAGGACTGTAAACCTTACATGTAACCTTGTACCTACCTTCCTCGGTTCTTTAAATACTATTTACACGTGAGGTCTTCGGGTCATGTTGACCCGAAAAATATGATAAAAACACATTTATTTAATAAAAATTAGGATACAATAAACGACTATATTTGTATATTACTCATTTTCTTGGTAACACAAAAGGCATAAAATTTCAGAATGTTTCGGACATATATGTTTCTTACATTTTTTACAGATTTTTGAAGTTTTTACATCTTTTGAAGATGGACATACACTACACCTTTTTCTTTTATTAGAGCTCTGAGTAGTGGAAGTATTCGTTGTCTCAGTAACACCTGACTGCACTCGTAGTACTAACTCCAGTGAAGCATTTTGTCCGAGGAAGAGTTTTCCTACGCCCGATGTGATCATTTACCAATTCCATGGCTAATTTCTCTAGAAACAACCGTCTTTGTACTGTTCTCTTCTGTTTCCAGTCTAGGTGGGTGTCACAGTATAATACATAAGCATTGAAACATGAAATACCAATCATATTATGAAATATAGCTATTGGCTACCTTCTAGTCATTCGTTTACAACTATAGGCCGAGACCATTTTATCTAGAAAATCAACAGCACCCTTTGTTGCATTATAGTCCATGATCACTTTTGGTTTCTTCTGCTCTGATTAATGTATTTCTATTTTGTTATGATTTGTGCTCAACAAAATAACATTTTTGTTTTTTTTTTAGGAATGTATGAGACAAGAACTATTTTTGAATTGAATTCAAAAGTAGATGAAAACACAGGCTTCTTTGTATGTAAAAGATCTACGGATATCTGTCGCTTATTTTTCCATAAGGTTCCAAGAATGGTAAGTTTACCATCTAAAAGTTTTTGAGCTAAATCATAAGATGTAAAAAAAATATCACATGTAAGGTTGTAGCCCTGTAAACCTTCTGTCAGATCCAAAACTACACGCATTCCTTGATTTTTTTCCGGAGAACTTCCTTGGAGTTTTCCAGTATAACACTGAATTGAACGAACGTATCCTATTTCACTGTCATACAATATCCAAAATTTTATGCCATATTTACTTGGCTTGCTTGGCCTATATTGTCGGAAAGGACATCGACCTCTAAATGAAAGTAACTGTTCATCAAATGTGGTTTTTATAATTGGATTATAAAACATAGGCAACAGCTTCACCCATTCATCCCACATGTCTCTCACAGCTGCTAATTTGTCACTCTGTTTTCTTGCTTCTCGGTCAGAACGTTTATCAAGTCGCAAAATCGCAGAAATTTGTTTGAAACGTTTCAAAGACATTGTTGCCCGAAATATAGGTCTTCCATAAGCTTCGGACCATAAGCTTTCTAAACTTTCATCGTTAGACTTGAAAACTCCAGCAAAAATAAGAATACCTAGATAAGCATCTAACTCCGTTTCATCTAACGCTTCCCATCCATTTCTGAAACGTGAAGAACCTTTTATATTTGTTTGTTTCAAAATTATACGCTTATTTAGAAATAAATCAAAAGAACTTCTAAATGTATTTATGCGATTAGAAGCATACCTGGTAATGCCTGGTGTAAGTTTTATTAGGTTTGCACTGCTCAAACGACCTCTGACTTCTAATGGGGTTCTTGACCATACAAATTCACCTTTTTTGATAGCATTTGGTTTTCATTAGCACTGGTATTGGAAATTTATCTTGAAAAAGACTCCTCATCGCTATTTGTTTCGTCACTACTGCTTTCACTGTATAAACTGGGTTGAATATTGTCCGTAGCATTTTCATCCAAACTATTCTCCGTTTCACTAATTATTTGATCTTCGGAATTTATATCGTAGTTTACGATTTGCGAAATCGCACAATCAGTCAAATTGTGAGCCATTTCAAACACCAACGAAACACATCAAGTCCAAACAACGAATGAATCAAATAGTAACTATCACACGTAACAACTAGTAACTGTCACACGTAAATAATGTAATCAACCGGCATATTAATGTAAATAAACAATTATTCTCAAAGTACCTTCAACAATAACACGCTAAGTAATTAAGATATTACTAACATTTATAAATTGTAAGTGTATTCTTAGAATGCAACAAAGCATTATTGTTTGCAAAACACGGGCTTTTCTGACCTGAGGACCTTTTCATACTCGGGTATTATTGACCCGAGGAACCTAAGACGGAAAAAACTTAATTTTCTGAAAATAAGAGACTTTAACATAATTTTACAATAATAATATATAGTGAATGCATAATTAATAATTGTCTTAAAGTCTTAGTAAATTATATTAATAATTACGACTTTTATTGACAGTTAAATTTCAGTTTCGGGTCAATATGACCCGAAGAACCGAGGAAAATTAACCTTTCGTAATCTTGTAAGTACCAAACCTAGATAGAAGGCCCCTTGGTTTCTTTACAGTTTTTCCAAAGGCGGAGGTTTTTCTTAAAAAAATATGCATATTATCGTTTAACACTTATTGTGTTTATGAATAAAATAAAACTATTGATTTATAAGCACATTTAAATTAATTATTTCATTCTATTCTATTCTCTCTTTTTCTGTCCTATCCTATCCTTTGTTTACCTATTCTATCCCATTCTATCCTATCATATTCTATCCTATACTATCTCATCCTATCCTATCTTATCCTATCCTATCTTATTATATTATCTTCTTTTCTATTCCATTATATTCTACTCTAGTATATGATCTGCTCTCATGCTTAGATCTGCCATGCAGAGTAAAGCCTTTGGTAAAACTACTCCCTATCAAAAATCTAGGATTTCCATTCAGTTTAATAAGGATATATTTTGACGTTAATCAGTATATTAGGCAAGTGCAACGTGTGCAAGTAAAATTCAGAGACGTACTCCTAAAGATTTATTTTTCCCCTAACACGTTATTTATTTAGCATGTTTAAAAATACTTGCCTTTGAAATTTGAATTCCATGTTAACGTTGCGGGTGATATCAATTTCAAACAACGTTCTTCTATATCGTTCTGCTATATCTGACGACTAAAAGTTGTTGTTTGATATAATATGATTTTTATTTCATTAAGAAGTTACTGATGATCACAAATAGATCTCCAGAAACCCACCCCGAGTACCTAAGTGTTGACGTTAGCATAGCGTAAACGCAAAAAAATAAGTCGAACATTCTCATGTCCCACAATTCTGACAATTTATAAAACAATTATTAATGTTTACAAACAATTATCAAGGTTCAGAAACAATTCGGAGGGTTCTTCACTGCTATGCAGGCTGTTCTAAAATGTGGCCAAATGATTTACTATTTATTGAGGGTCCGTCATGCAACATCTGCGTATAGGAAACATTTTACTTATTTTTGTTCATAAGTTTTTGGGGTAAAAAACATTCAAATTTGTTCAAAGATTGATTGATTGGTGTGATTTTTTTCTTAAAAAAGAACTATACAGCCAATTCTATTAAAAACCATATCGAGTATTCTTAATGTAATTTGAGTAGTTAAAAACTTATTCGATTATTTAAACACTACAGCCAACAATTGTTTACTAATTTATTTTATGTATCAGTATCCTTCACAGTATTTATTCTTATGAACGTGTAATGAGTTATGTTCTCTTTGATTACATCCATGGTAATATTTTTATGGTTATTTTGAGTTTTTGACATAACGATAAACGATAGATAACTTTATATTATTACTATTATATATACTATTATGTCAATTATTATAGTAACTATTATATCTGTAAAAACAGTTTTTCTGTATTTCCATGATCATACGTGAGCTTTTATAATAAAGCCATAACTATAAGTAGGTTTCGGCCACACTCCTGCTAATATTATTTGAGATTTCAATTTCTTTATTGTCATTCGATTCTTCTGACATTTTCTTTGATCTGCTAAACACTTTATACGATTCCGAAAGTGGCGGAAGTCTGGTGAAGTTATTCCTTTCTTTTTGTTATACTGTAGTAATCATCACCTTATTTAAAATCTTTAATCTATCGATAATATTTCATTATAATTTTTTTCTCATACAAGTCATTTTATTTAAAATAACAAGCAAAAACATCTGTCACTTTATTACCGCATTTCAATTAACAAGGCAACGAGAATGATTTAATTAAATTAAGAGTCTCAATGAACAGAATAATTGGTTGTGTAATTGTATCGACGTTACAATATCTCTATAATCAATGTTTGTGAATATTTTCGGAACGGAATTTTGACAAAAGATCCTGTCTTAGATTTTAGCGGCTGAAATATTACAGTAAATAATAGTATCGTTGACGGTTTTTTTTTAATATTGTACCTTTGCTAAATTTGGTGTCATATTATTAAAATTATTTAAATTAGTGTTAAAAATAGTTATATGCCTAAATAATTTCCCTGTTATTGGTTCATAAAACGTTCGTGCAAAGTATATGGTATTAAAAAGAAAACATTCATACCTACGATTTGAATGTTTTGTAAGTAAATAAGTTATACAATTTTTATGTTCGAAAGTTATAAAAACTGAAAAACGAAAACGGAATAATGCATTTACTAATGAAAATTGTGATATCTATTTTGGCTTTGTTTATTTGTTGGTTAGCACTAACAAGTTACGTAAATCTGTTTCGCTCTTACGTTGAGATATCCTCACCGAGCGTCGAGACGATGTGGATAACCGCAATGAGCTATACATCTCCATTTGCACGTGTATGTAAACTGTTTCCGAGCAAGCCTTTACTGGTGCATAATGTATTTTTTAAATAACAAACTCCTACTTCCTCATTTTAAAACATGCGGCGTATAGACAAAATATTTAAGTTTAGGAATTTGCTTAAAATATATTCATAACCTGTCCATTTGGCGTGATATAGGTATTTAGTATTAGTAAATAATAATGCTAACTACTTCATTATATCATTATATATCAAATGAAAAAGCGACACTAAACAGACACAAACATGATCATCTATAGATTATTTATTTAGGGAATAAGATAGAATATTATATTAAATAAGTCGTTTTCAGACCACCTAGCATCTATTTACGTACCAGACAAATACCTTGAGAGTAAATCAATTTTCGTTCAATTCAATAACTTTACATACATACATAAACACTCACGCCTGTCACCCAGAGGGGTAGGCAGAGACTACAGACTTCCATTTGGCACGATCCTGACACACCTCTCTCGCCTCCTTCACATCCATACACCTACGCATACATGCTCGTCGGTTAAGGGTACTCCTAATTTGGCCCGTTTTCAATAAATCGCCAATTTGGTCGATATATTTTCGCCTCGGACGTCCCTTTCCAACTCTGCTATTCACTTCTGCAACATAAATTTTCTTTGTCACTCTTTCCTCATTCATTCTTTCCACATGACCAAACCACCGAAGCATTCCTTTCTTAATCCTGGTCACAACATCATCTTGCAAACCACACTCTTCTCTTATTACACAATTTCTTACCCTGTCATTCAGATTCGGCCCTAACATACTCCTTAACGACCGCATTTCTACTGCGTTGATTCTACTCTCGTGCTTCTTCTGCCACACCCAACTTTCACTACCATACGTTAAAGTAGGGACCAACACAGCATTGTGAATTGCCATACGTGCCTTTTACTTTACAATAACTTTACCTACATATATATATGTAGTATATGTAGGTAAAGTTATTGTAAAGTATAAAGTTGTTGTATAGTATATATGTAGTATTCAAATTTAGTAAGGTATATATATATATATATATATATATATATATATATATATATATATATATATATATATATATATATATATATATAATAAGTTTCAAATCACAACGATTCTAAAGAAATTTTCACTTCAAAACTCTATGTGTAGTTATACATACATACTATTCGGCCTTTCTTCACTATAAGATGAGGGCAAAGATTGTGTTTTCACACTATGCACGTTCATCGCTATGTACCTCTTTCACTTACTCAGACAACATATTTTAGAGAATCCAAAATCATCATCTTCAATGCCTCGTATAGTTTTTTCCTACATGCATCTATGCAAGTCTAGAAATACCAATATCACTGCGATCAATAAGATCTATTGTAATCGCTGCTATGGATCATAGTTCACTGCTAAGCCTATGAGTTGCTTAGCTCTAAGCAAATTCAATTCTGGGCTAAGTATATAGTTTTCCAGATGAGTTTTACTTTTGAGCATTAAGGATTTACAATCAGGTTGTGGAGAAGTGTTTCTTCCGTTTAGGAATAGAATCAGCACATAGTTGAGTTGCTTAGTCCCTGGATGGATGTGTGATTTTAGGCAACGGTGTCCAGTCAGGTCCCTTACCAGAATACACAGTTCTTACTGAATCCCTGGGCTTCTTAAGCGAATTTGCGATCATTAACCCGGATTAATGTCTTAAAACTGGTGTATCAGACCAGATCTTAAGTGATTTTTTGTGATAGAGAGTTTCAAGGGTCAATCGGCCTAGGCTTTTTTGGATTCAACAAAATGACTTAGGTTCACAGTGTGTACTCTTTGAGCCTTCTTGTTCACGTTTGCCGGAAAGTTCATTGCCTACAATACCCGCATGACCCGGAATCTACCTCAAAACGACCCCGTTGTTAGGGCGTTTAAAGTCACAGCTCTCAACTTCGAGATCGTTTGATAAACGTCAGCAGTGCTGCTTGACTATCGGAGTTTATATAGATAATATGGTTGACGTAGCATTTTTGCAGGTT